ATATATATATTTCTTGATTCAAGGCAGTCAGCATGTTTTATATCTGAAGCTTTCCTGTTAACAATAAACTGTTAGTTAAATCCTACTGGTCACCTTTTGGTATTTATATAATCAATTTAACCTAATACAGCATATCTAGCAGATGAAGCTTTATCACAAAAGATAACACTAATCCCACTAGCAAACCATAACTTATTTGTATTTATAGAAGCACAAAACTTGGTTTTTGCGAACCTGCTACACATGTTGAAAACACAAAAATCATGTTGCATAAYAAAGCGTTTAATTTATCAGCTTTTAATTGCAGACCCTTTGCTAACTTTATTGGATAATTGTGATTGTTTAAAGAAATCAAGATTTTAGAATACAAAGAAGCAAACAAAATGAGTATGTTAATGCTGCAATGCTGAGAAAGTAGTGTTTCTTTTTAAAATAAAAAAAGCATTTATTGGTTTTATAACAAATATGTAATTTCTAGATTCTTCTGGCCTTCATATTCCAGTTGTTAAATGAATGCCAGGACACTAACTGCCACTGGCTAAATGTGGCTACGAGTTTATTCTGACACATCAAGCCTGAACCATTAGCCTGTCCACACCTCATCTAATTAAACTCCGGTCCCTTTGCCATCGCTAACTAAAAGTGGTGGCCAGTTCAGGTCAGATTCTTCTGCTTTTTCACGCCTGATGTTTGCACACTCCGAAGCCGTGGGTGCGTGCCATCCAGCAGTCCTCTAACTATTAATATCCRCGAGGGTCATGGGCAATCTGGATGGTGTGTAAATTTAGACTCTCCCCCCTGGATGTTCCGTTGAAGTCATCGTTTTGACCTCTGACCCAGGAGCACGGCCACTGCAAGGCCTGTGGTGAACTTGAAGTTCAGAGTTAACGCATTTAACGCAGAGACCGTGCAAACACTTATCCGTCTATCCATAGTGTGTGGATAGCGTTTTCTTAAAAGAAGCACTGAGGCAAAAGTGGCTTAAAAATGTCACCAAAGATGCTGAACACTTACTACATTCATTCATTATTTGAGCCTTCATCACAAGACAAGTTACACAGTAACTGATTGTAAACCTTTGTGACTCTCCTCTCTGTCTCTCATGCTAAAACAACTTTGAGCAGATAAAAGCATCTCTGTTTCTTGTGAAGATAAAAAAAAACATGCATAAAAGAAATCTGTGTCGTTCCATCCTGAAATATCAGCTTTACAATAATGGTGTCCTGTAGAGCTGTACAGAGTTTTCTTTCTTTTTAATGAACAGTTGGAATATGGTGTTTAGATTAAGTGCTCATGCAGGTTCCCACAGCCTTATCCAGTGTCTCTGCCCCTGCCAGAGTTATGTGATGGATCAGGGGGCTGAAATGCATAAACAGGGACAGGGTGAGGGGGGGAACTGATCTTCAAGGTATGTCAGCCGACACTCTTAGGGTTTCTGGTGCACAGAACTCCTGAAGACCTGAAACTACAAACATAACAACATTATTCAAGTGTAGAATTTAAGTTACAGAAAGTCGGGACAGCGTTGTGTTCTTTTCTTGTCTGGTTTTATGTGACTCAGCACACGTAAGTGAGCAGGAATATCATGAACTGTTTTGGCATTATACCTCCAGACACAATAGGTGTTGACAATCTTAATACCACTTTTGACAAATCACACCCGTCTCCTGCTACCCTTCAGCCACGAATACACAACATTCTTACCCTTTTGCATGCAACTCCAAGATGACACACACACAATTTTTGATTCTTTCTATCTATAGATTGTGATACATACACCGTAAAATAACCTCAAATACGTTATGCAGGTTTCATGGTCATTTTACCTGGTGGGTTCCTCATTGTGCAAAAACATGTCTGAACTCTGTCAGAAATAATAAACTCCACGACACACAATAAGCAACCTGCATAACATATTAGATTCTCAAGAGTTACTCTGACTACTTGATATGTTGCGTGTGGGACAAAGCTTGTCTTACAAATTCAGATCATTTCAAGGGCAAAGCGATAGTTGCACATTGCATTCAGCCACATTGCAGTTCGAGAAACAGGTATTTGAAATTTAGCTCCTGTCGAATGAGACTTTTCTTTCAAAGTTGTCTTTTAATGTCAACATTTTCATCTTTTTTTTTCAAAACTGAACTAAACTGTCAGAGCAGACACTTTTGTTTTTTTTTATAGTAAGAGGTGTCAAGTAAAATAAATTGTCATTCAAAATGCAATCTGATTCCCTGTTTTAAACATKAACTCTCCTTAAACGCACCTTTCATGGTGATAGTTGATTTTAGCTGCACCTGTACTGTTCAAATTCAAATTCAAAAATACTTTATTGATCCCAGAGGGAAATTTGGTTACCCATCACAGGTTCCAATGTGAAAGAGGTAAGGCGAGTGCCCCAACCTTATGTCCAATTGAGGCTGCCCAACTCTTTCAAATTACTACATGGCAATTGGGTGTTTTTACGCACGGCGAGCGTATGATAGAAGTAGAGTTCCTCCGTCAGGATCTCCGCGGCTTTCTCACCCCAGGCGTGCAAGACTTCACCAAACCTCCCACTTTGATCCCCCATTTTCCTCTCTCCGCCGTTCCTCTGAAGGAAAAAAAACAAAACAGGTGTTACGTCAGAAATTGCAGGGCAAGCAAGGCAGAGTCTTAGGAGCTATTCGTAGGCGTTACTGCCAAACCCGGCTCTTTGGGCTGCTCCTGAGCTCCCTGCAGCCAATGCAATTTCTAACTCTTTTTAAAAACAGCGGCAATATGCGGTAAGTCAGTTATTCATTCATACTCTTTCATTTCCTCGGGATTTTTTTCCCCCCTCACAGCTTTCTTTACGTGACAGGTCACTGTTGCTGGCACAATTACGCGCAAAAAAAAGAGGCAACAACAACAACAGGGGAGAGTGCAAATACGCAGAGTAGTTTACACACACAGCCTCACTGAAAACATCATGGCATGATGAGGCAGAAGAGGTTTTTGACTCGCGGGGTTTTCTGCAGCAAGTTTTTTTGTTTGATTTTTTGGGTGATCTGAAAAGAAGAAGAAGAAGAAAAAAAAGCAAACATGCCTCACGCTCGAAATAGGAACCCGAGTCCCATCCCAGAGGTAACATGGGACACGGGACTGAAGGAGATGAACGAAACCTGGAAAGGAGCTATAGCCTGCCTGGGGGTGGCTGTCTTCTTTGTGATGACCATTGGGATCATATATTGGCAAGTGGTGGACCAGCCCAACAAAAACTGGATCCTCAGGGGGACCCTGAGCGGACTGATCTGGGAGAGAAGGACCCACTCGCTGGTCATCCAGACTCTGACGGAGGACATGACCTACGTGGAGATAGATGTGGGGAACGTGGGGAACCCCGACATCGAGGTCCCCTTCGTGAGGAACCTSTGCTGGCTGAACAAAACCGAGTTCTGCTACACGTGGGACTCGGTGGCCGAGGTGAAGATCTCGCTGGAGGTGAACGAGGAGACGGAGACGGAGTGCTACAGCATGACCTGGACACCGGTGCACTGTCATGTGGAGCTGAAGGTAAACCAAGCCGTGCGTAAAACTCCAAAGTCACCATTTATGCTTTGAACGGATTTTGTTTACCAATGAAGGTCTAAWTGTTGGCGAGTTGTTCCTTATTTTACATCCTAATAAAAATTCTCTTTACACCACTAAGTAAACTAATTTAATTACTTAATTTCAACCTTTTAAAATCCCTACAGGAAGGTTTATGTTAGAATTTTACATGAAACGTTCCTTTCCAATTTGTTTGAAGTTGGTTTCAAATGTGATTATTTTAGTTGTGTGTTTATAATTTTAAAAAAAGCTTTGAGGTGGCTCTGAAATATGAAGCATTTTTACTCACTCACTCACTCACTCACTCACTCACTCACTCACTCACTCACTCACTCACTCACTCA